TTGTAATCTTCAGGTGTTGCTGTTGTAGGATCACTGAGTTCTGGTGATGGTGCAAAATTGCTTTTTTGGCTATTGCATGCATTCTAACATTGGTGTTTACTAATCTTTTCTTCCAACCAATGTGGCTTGTGCCTATGTCTGTTCTTCCAACTGTTGTGGTTCATTCTTGTGCCTGATTTTCCAAATGGTGTGATTTGAGCCTATGCCTACATAATCTGATGGGTCTGAGGGGGAAAACTAGCCATGGGGAGGATGTTTAGGCTCATGGGGTTGGGCAGCAGAGTGAGTCATGGTAGACAACATCTAGTGGCTATCAGAGGTTTTGGTGCAGCCTGCTCACCAGTCTGCAGGTTGTCAGGAACTATACTAGAGCAGGGACTTCCACTGGTGGTGGGAACAGGTTCATGCTCCCTTGCTGGTGATGAGATATGAAGGGGCACAGAATGTACCCTGGGTTTGAGTTATACACTGGATTTGGAGCAGTCCAGTTGAGAGTTCCTGGACTCTCACCTAATATTCCACCTGGTGTGGTTTGTGCCTGTGCCTGTGTAATCTGCTGGAGCTACAGAAGTGGGCTGACCATGGTTAGAATGTTCAGGTGCATGGGGTTGCACGGTAGGGTGTGTCTTCATGGCATAGCATGTAGTAGGTGGTGTGCTTTGCATGCAGCCTGAAGACAGGTTTCTCATCTGCCTGCAGGCTGTTAGGGATTTCACTAGAGCATGGGGAATTTCATCGGAGGTGGTGGCATGGTCCAGCTGCCTTGCTGGTCCTGGATAGAAGGAAAAGGGGCATAGTATTTGCCCTTGGGTTAAATTAGGTTCTCGACTTGGGTCAGTACAGTTGACAGGCCAGTCACTCACATGATTTTCCAATTGGTGTGGTTGAAGCCTTTGCCTATGTAGTCTGATGGGACTACAGGTAAGGCCTGGCCATGAGAAGGCTGCTCAGGTGAGTGGGGTTGGGTGGTGGAGTGGCTGATGGTGGAACACTGTCCAGTTGGTGGTAGGGGTTTGGGCACAGCCTGGAGGGAGGCTTGTAGGGACCTTATCTGTAGAAAAAAGCAGGCTAGCTAAAGGATAAAACAATTATATTTTTATATTATAAGGGGAAAACTCACAAAACAGGAAACTAGAAGTACAAGTTCCACTGCATGCCACGGGAATCACCCAGAAAGAGTAAGCACCTTGCCATGCACATGTTTTTGTCTCTGGGTTCCAGAAAGCCACACCTTAACTAAGACCCACCTCTTAAAGATAATTGGCTAACAAGCTTGCCCGTCATCTCCCCTCTTTTGTCTAAACAAGATTCTGGAGTAATAATATATCAGCACCAATGTCTAGTAAGCCTTCAATAAAAATGCCATTCATACACACTCTTAGCTTTGGTGTTTGATCATTTATAGAAGTCTGCCAGAATATATGTTTCCTATATCCTATTGAAGTTTTTGACTCGTCATCTACATTTATTCTGTCATCCAGACCAGTATTGTTTTTTAAAGTAGGCCGTGGACTTTTTAATTTTCCTGGTGAGACAGGTTCTCCACAGTAACTGGGAATGAATAGACCACATTGATCATGGGGGACCTGCAAAAGTTTCCCAATGGTATTGGGTTGCCTTGACTGTCTTTTGTTGACTTAAATTCATTGGACTAATGTTGGCCTTTGCCACACATCTTACATATACCTGAAGGATGAGTCTTCATATTCTTGCCATTTCCAGAGGAGACATTATTCCTAGAAATTTATTGTCTATAATCCCTTCTCAGATGCCCCATTCCACCACATTTAAAACATTTGGTATTTTTATGTCTCCTTTTACCATTGGATATTGCTTCTCCTACCCATGTGTCTATACCATAGTAAAGTGTCTCAACATCCATTGTATGCAAGACCCATTCAACCATGGGTACTGATCTGTTTTTTAAAGGTCCAAGGAACCTTTTGCATACTGAGTTGGCATTCTTATAAACCAAAGATTTAATTAGTATACATTTAGCTTCTGGGTCAAATACCCCTACTTGTACAGCCTTAGTTAATCTTTGTAAAAAGTCACTAAAAGATTCTCTCTGAACCTATTTAACTTTAACATATGATTCAACTCTATTTCCTAGTTTCTAAATCCTGTCCCAAGCATTTAAAGCTGCTGTGATACATAGGGAGAAGGTGTGCTCATTGTAAAGAGCCTTATCCTGAGGATCAGAGTAAAGTCCCTTGCCCAAAATTTGATCTTGGGAAATTTCAAGTCATTTTGCTTTTCCCCGTTGCTCTAAAATTTTAACCTCTCCCCTAAAGTAGCACCACCAAAGCAACTGGGGTCCATTTTCTAAGACCACTAAAATTAACTGAGTCCAGTCTTGTGGTGATGTTTTGTTACTGGAAGCCCATGTTTTGACCATTTCTGTAACAAAGTACAAATGTATTTTGTAAAATACAATGGCTTATTTAATTTCTTTTAGATCAGTCATACATGGGGGCTCCCATGCATATTCTTTGATTACCTTAGGGTATTTTGTGCCAGATGATATTTCTGATGATATCACCAGAAAGACAGGTAGAAATCTGGGTAAGTTTGGTACATACTGATGAGGCTAATTTTTTTGTCTTTGTACCATTTGTCCCTGGTCTTCAAATTCAATAAATTCTTCAATCTTTTCAAATCTATTTACCACGGCCTTTTGTAAAGTATGGATGTCCTGTCCACTGTTCAGTTCTAATGCCCTCATTGAGGATTCCAAGATGTGAAGTATGTCTAGTAGAAATAATATATGATCCTTGAACTAATTTTTATAGCATGCATATTACCTTCCTGGAGAAACATTCTATCAGTCAGTCTATCATATCCCTTTGACAGAGTCCAAAAAATACATTCAACAGTACAAGTTTTCTCAATATGTCAGCACCCTCTGTCACAGACTGAGTTTTGTTTGTCAAATTGGCCGTATCCTTCTCCAGAGTGTTAAATTTTCCTTTTAGTAAATTACTATAAGTCTGTAAAGATTGTACCATTTCTAAAAGCAACTCATTCGACTGAGTTTTGTTTGTATCCTTCTCCAGAATTTTGAATTTTCCTTTTAATTGATCAGTGTCAGTCTGTAAAGACTGTATTATTTCTAAAAGTGCCTCATTCGTGGGCCCATTGTCATACCATGTTTTTAAGGAAAAACTATGGAAAACAGCACTAATACCCAGAACCAAATATAATGATGTAGGAGGAAAATAATATAAACCTTGCATGACATAATACATAGTATAAGTAAAAAAGCTAGTGAATTCCTGGATGGTTAAATTGTCCATCATTTTGATCTTGTAAATTATAAATTTATAATTTATATTTTTGATACTAAATCTTACTTGAGGTTTAGTTAGTTAACTGAAGTAGGTGCAGTAACTGTTAACTCTCAGTAGGTGTCAGCCCACTTGTAGTTGTGTAGTTGGTTTGAATCTGATTCTGGTGCTAAATGATGAACTATGTTCAAATTAAAAACAGTTCTTTAATGTTCATCACAGACTGTGTGCTCTGTGGATGTCCCTGATTGGTTGGTGGTCACCCAAGCAGTAGAATAGCAAATGCAGACAAATTGTTAGGAACAGTGGAACAGTAGGCTCAGACAGGGGAAGCCCAAAGCAGCTCTAAGACCTCGGGCACCTTGGTCTGAGGTGTGTAATGAGGACATATAAAGAACTGAGGCCAATCTGTAGCAAGACAAAACACTGTGCAAGAATTCTATACCCAAATAAACTGCTGGCTCTGAGCACAGGCCAAGGTTGAGGTGGGCTGATAGAGGGGGCATGGGCTAAATACACATCTAGCCCAACAGAGGATGTGAGGGCACACAGGACCATGAATTGTATACTAAACTTTGGGCTCCAAGTGTAAAACTAACTAGGCTAGTTAAAGGATAAAACAATTAGATTTTTAGTTATTATAAGGGGAAAACTCACAAAACAGAAAACAAGAATTCCAACTTCTGCTGCATCCTTCAGGAATACTCCAGAGAGAGCAAGCACCTGGATGGGCAAATGTTTTATCTCTCTGGGTTTGAGAAAGCCACACCTCTCTTCTATCTCTTGTATTTCGTGGGTGATGCTTGCATCTGTAGTTCCTGTTCATGAACCCATTTTTCATTTCCTGAATTCCATCACATTGTGGTTTTTTATTGCTTCTATTTTGATTTTTATGTCATGAATAATTTCCTTCAATTGATTCTTTTTCTCATCTTTTCTTGGTATTTTTTATGCATTAGTTGATTTTCTCTAATTCTTTGGTTAGCTTTTTCTTGATTTTTTAAGGGAGTTTTTCATTTTACCTTTGAGGATATATATCATCCTCATTAAAGTTGCTTCAAGTTCATTTTATTGTGCTTTGTCTGTGCTGGAATACTCATGTTTGCTGTCATAAAGTAGATGGGCTGTGGAGGTGTCATATTGCCCTGGCTGTCATTGATTCTATTTTTACCTGGACATTTAGGCATCTGGGTTTGGGATGGTTAGCTCTAGTTACTGATTTCTGAGTTTGTCTTTCTTGGGTGGGTGTTTTTTTATTTTTATTTCCTCTCTGTTATTTTTATGCCCTAGATTTCTGGTGGCTGGTGTGATCTCTGGAGGTTAGTTTCTACTTGCAGAAGGGGGTTTGTGTTCTTCTGACTGGTTTGGCCTGAACCTGTGCACCAACAGTTTGAACAAGCGGGTGTGGCTTAATTTTATAATTATTTAAAGGATTGCTTGACAGTTTTACTTCTTCTAAATAAGGAGATTACTATTTTGCTCTCATTGCCCTAGAAAAACAGTAATAAACTTGACAGCACATGGCTTATTTTGAGGTAGACATGACAAATAGTAGAAATAGCTTTTTAAATAGTTATTATCCTTCTTGGCACTGGCATAAAGCAGAATGTGCCAGGCTACAAAGGACAATAGTAGAAGACATTCTTTGTGGCATGCATGTAAAATGGGTAAATAATTGTCGAAGCTGACATGTTGGTTCATTTCTTCCCATAGATCAGCAGGAGTGTATCCCTTGCCCAATTCAAGAGTACCCAAACCCTGAGAGAAACAGCTGCCTGCCCAAGTCAGTGACATTCCTGTCCTTTGATGACTCTCTAGGCATGGCTCTGGCCTGCACAGCTCTGTGCTTGTCTGTCAGCACAGCTGTAGTTTTCGGAATCTTTCTCAAGCACCAAGACTCACCCATAGTTAAGGCCAATAATCGGACTCTCAGCTTCATCCTGCTCATCTCCCTCCTCCTCTGCTTCCTGTGCCCATTTCTCTTCATTGGCCAGCCAAACACCGCCTCTTGCATATTGCAACAAATTACATTTGCTCTGGTGTTCACTCTAGTTCTTTCCACTGTTTTGACCAAAACTGTAACTGTAATTTTGGCCTTTAGAGCCATGACACCAGGAAAAACAATGAGAAGACTCTTTGTCTCAGGCTTCTATAATTCTGTCATCCCCATCTTTGTCCTGATCCAGTTTATTCTCCTTGGAGTCTGGCTGGGAACCTCGCCTCCCTATATTGAAGAAGATGTACACTCTGAACATGGTCACATCATCAATTTGTGCAACAAGGGTTCAGTCACTGCTCTCTACTGTGTGCTGGCATTCTTGGGGATCCTGGCCCTAGTCAGCTTCTCTGTTGCTTTTCTAGCAAGGAACCTGCCTGATACCTTCAATGAAGCCAAATTTCTGACATTCAGCATGCTGGTGTTTTGCAGTGTCTGGGTCACCTTCCTCCCTGTCTACCACAGCACCAAGAACAAGACCATGGTGGCTGTGGAAGTCTTCTCCATCTTGGCTTCCAGTGCAGGGCTGCTAGGGTGCATCTTTTTCCCAAAGTGCTACATAATACTCCTAAGACCTGATAAGAACTCTTTGAAAAGTTTTAAGAACAAAACACGATCTAGGAAAAACTGATCATTTTGATGAATTAACTATGTCTCTCTCATAAAATCTTAGTATAGTCAGGTGAAACTATTACCTACTTCTCAGTGTGTTTTTCTGAAATGTTGTTTAAACAAAAATGAAAGAGTCCCTTGCTGTATCTCACATAGAGACAATCTATTTCAGAATAGCAACTACTAATGAAAAATGCATGTTATTAAGTCATGCATGTCACTTATTAACTTGTAGCCATTATAAATATTCAATATACATTATATGATACTAACCTAGATAAATAACACATTAACTAAATGATTTTCCTCTAAATCTTTTAGTTTTGGAGTATAGCAGAGCTTTATGTGATAACATTTATGGCTCACAGACATGCACAACATAGAGCTAAAATATTGTAAAAGGCAGAGGATCAGAGTTTACACTGAAACTGTGTATCCTAATAATGTCAGAAGCAACACCCATAAGTGTTACCAATATGACTGCATGAACATGAACTGAACAAAGGAAATGATTATACAGATGCTGAACTGGACTAGGAAGAGACCATCAGGCTTCAACCTTACACAAAAATCTACACGGCTGAGAATGGAAGAAATAGTCTTCCCCGGGGGGGAGCACAATAATGAGTTAGTTATCCAACACCAAATGATCAGCTCTGAAAACAGAAACAATAATATGATAAGATGGAGAAACTTATATGTAGGAGTATATACTTCTGTTCAGAAAGAGGCAGGCCTCCCATGGGTGTCAACAAAGCATGGCATATTGAGGTCAGACTGAGTTCCTCCCTAAGCATTAAGGCTGGGCAAGTATGAGGAATAAGTTCCTGGAAGATAGCCAAAGTGTTAGGGACAGGCCCAGATTCCACCACTAGGAGTCCCACAAGTAGATAGAGCTACACAACTGTTATACATACGTAGAGACAGGGATTCATAGATCCCTGGAAAGAGGAAATAAAAGAGATCTCCTCGGTAAACTGGTGGCCAGTGGAGTTGGGAATATAAGCAATAGGAACTCATGGCTTTTTTAAACTGTTATTTCATGCTTTATACATACATCTATTTTTAAAGATAACCTGTTTGGTTTGTAAAATGCTACCAGTATATATGTTTTCAGGACTGAGCATCATATTTCTTTTTAAAACAAGATTAAATGCTCAAAGTTAAATAAAGAAATAAAAGGTAACCAATATTAATCAATTTTTAAAAATTGAAAGAAATATCACAAAACAACAAAATAATGGGAATTTATAAATATCTTTCAGTAATAACTCACTGGTAATAGATTCAATTCTACAACAAAATGTCAAATATTATTTGATAATAAATTCAATTAGGATTTTTGCTGCCTTCAAGACACTCACTTCAATATATCAATGATAGACATAAACTTAGATTAGTTCTTTGAAAAGATTAAGGATCTTCACAAACTTTAGACTAATAAACTCAAAGAAAGAGAATTCGACCTAATTTGATAAAATAAGAGTCAAATAGAGGCACTGTACTGGCTAGTTTTTATCTCAACTTGTCAGAAGCCAGAGCCATCAGAGAAAAGAAAATCTCACTTGAGAAAATGCCTCCATAAAAATCAAGCTGCAGGTATGTCAAAGGCCAATTTTTAATAGGATTATTTGGTATTTTGATGCCAAGTTTCTTGAATTCTTTCCATGTTTTGAGTTCAGCCCTCTGCCAGATGTGGAGTTGAGATCTTTTCCCATTCAGTAGGCTCCCATTTTGTCTTATTTACTACATCTTTTGCCTCACTGAAGCGTCTCAGTTTCAGAAGGTTCCATTTATTGTTGTTGTTCTCAGTGTTGTGCTACTGAGGTTATATTTAGGAAGTGATCCCCTGTGCCAATGTATTCAAGCCTCTTCCACTTTCTCTTCTACAAGGTTTACTGTACCTGGATTTATGTTGCAGTCTTTGATCCTCTTGGACTTCAGTTTTGTGCATTCTATTAGATATAGATCTATTTGATTTCTTCTACATGTCAATATCCATTTATGCCAGCACAATGTATTGAAGACGCCTTTTTATTCATTATACAATTATGGCTCCTTTGGCAAAAATCAAGTGTTCATAAGTATGTGGATTAATTTTGGTGTCATAATTCAATTTCATTGATCTATGTGTCTGTTTTTATGCCAATACCAAGTTGTTTTTATTACTATAGTTCTGTGGCAAAGCTTGACATCAGGGATGGTTACGCCTCTAGAGGTTCCCAAGTTGTTCAAGAGTGTTTTGACTGTCCTTGTTATTTTGGTTTTTTTTTTCTTATGAAATTGAATTTGTTTCTTTCAAAGTCTTTGAAGAATTGTCATGGTGATTGCATTGAATCTCTATATAGTATTTTATGGGATGGCCATTTTTTCTTCTGTTGATTCTACCTATTCTAAAACATGGGATATCGTTTTTATTTTCTGATATCTTCTTAAATTTTTTTGTCAGAGACAAAAAGTTCTTATCATACAGGTTTGCTTAGGGTTAAGCCCAAGATATTTTATGATATTTGTGGCTAGGGTAAAGGTTGATGCCTTTTTGATTTCTTTTCCAACCCATTTATCATTTGTATAAAGAAATACAATTGGTTTTTTAGTTAATCCTACATCCACCACTACCCCTCATTGCTGAAGGTGTTTATCAGTTGTAGATGTTACCTGGTAGAATTTTTGGTGTCTCTTATATATATTACCTTGTCATCTGCAAATAGTGAAAGTGACATCTTTCTTTTCAATTTGTATCCCCTCAATCTCCTTTTGGTGTCTTACTACTCTAGCTAGAACTTCTAGTACTATATAGAATAGATATGGAAAAAGTAGACTTCCTTATCTTGTTGCTGATTTTAGTGGAATCGCTTTGAGTTTATCTCCATTTACTTTGTCAGCTTGTTGTGTAATGCCTTTATGGTGTTTAGGTATGTTCCTTGTATACCTGATCTCTCTAAGACCTTTACCATGAAGGAGTGTCAGATTTTGTCAAAGGTTTTTTTCAACATCTAATGAGATGATCAAGTTATTTCTTTCATTCAGTTTGTTTAAATGATGGGTTACATTGACAGATTTTTGTATGTTGAACCATCCCTGCATCTCTGAAATGAAGCCTACTTGATTAGGGTGGATGATTTTTTGATGGATTCTGTTTGCTAGTATCTTACTGAGTATTTTTACATCAATGTTTATGAGGAAGATTGGTCTGTAATTCTTTTTCTTCATTGCATCTTTGTATGGTTTACATATCAGCTTTAGTGTAGCCTCATAAAAAGAAATTGACAATGCCCCCTGTGTTACTATTGTATGGAAATAGCTGAGAAGTATTGGTATGAGGTATTAATTAAAATTCTGGTAGATTTCCATGTTGCAATCATCTGGCCCCAAACGTGTTTGGTTGGAAGACTTTTAATAACTGCCTCTATTTCCTTAGGGGTTATAAGTCTATTTAAGTTATTTATCTGGTTTCTTTCAGATTTTCCAATTTTGTGGAGTACAGGTTTTTGAAGTATGATCTAATGAGTCTCTAGATTTCCTCAGTGTCCCCCTTTACATTTCATTTTTTTCAGGCTAAAAGAACTTTATTACTTGTTTTAAAGAGTGATATAAAGTAAGTTTTCTTCTAATTACTGATCTACTCTGAACCTCTGGAGAAAAGAAAGACAAGAACCTGGGAGATAATGATTCTGCTGGTTGCTCTTGCATTTTCACTGTTTTTTTTTTTTTTTTTTTTGCCAGAGATGGCAATAGATAACTCCCATCCACATGTGGTTCCTGAGATGCAGGAAGCAATTCCCTCCAGGGAACCCAGTGGCAGCTAAATGAGCTGAGCATGTTACCTTGAGGGTCAAGGGGAAAACACCAAAGTGTGCTGAGTACTGCTTCTATGGCATCTGCCTACACATTTGGCAATGATACAGATGATTCTCATTATAACAATTCTACTAGTGTACTTGTTCTTCATTTTCTTTTTCTCCTTCCACACCAGTGGCTTCTGAAAATATGGATGTGCTGCATGATAATATGATCTGATAGAGTGGGCAGGCATTGAAGTTGTAAAGCAAGTTATGGGAAAAAAACCTGACTGATGAACGAATTGGGGAAATTTGGGGAAAATGCAGAAATTGGTTTTTTTACCTGATTATAAAATTTACCTGATTATCTGATTCGGCAAAAGAATCAAACTGAAACAGAAAAGAACTTGGCTATGATGAATAAAGTTTATGAAGAACCTAGGGCCTTCGGGATGACTGCTTATGGCTTTATAAATCAAAACTGGAACCCCAACTCCCTTGGTTTTCTAGCCAGCCAGGAGGGAGTTTCCTCTGTCTAGGAACCCCCCCACCCATCCAGCTTTCATCCAAACTACTAGCTACACCCCAGTCCCAAACCCGCCTATTTGCCTGCAATCTCAGTGGAACTCTGTAACACAGCTTGCTCCAATACTGAGGGTACCCAAGAGGGGAGTGAACATGGCAAAATGCCCCACTCTCTAGGACCTCCCCATCAGAACAAAACCCAGGGCCCCTTTCCTAACTCCCTTGGTTTTTCTAGCCAGACGGCAGGAAGTTTCCTGTGGCTAGGCGCACCCCCAACCCATCCAGAAGCCATCCAAGCTACTAGCTACTCCACATCTCCAAACCTGACTATTTGCCTGCAATCTCAGTGGAAGTCTGAAACACTGCTTGCACAAATACTGAGAAAACTTAAGAAGTGAGTGAACAGTCACACAGACAGATGCCCCACTCTCTAGTACCTCCCCAGTAGGACAAAACCCAGGGGACCTTCACCAACACCCTTGGTTTTCTAGCCAGCCAGAATGGAGTTTCCTGCATCTAGGCACCCCAAAACCCAAACCCATCCACTGGAACCCTCAAGCTACTAACCACACCCCAACTAAGAGCTGAGCACTTGCTAAAATATTGAGGGAAGGAAGAACATGCTACAACACTGAGGGGATTAAGAGAGAACATCAAGAGAGCAAACCAGAAGAGAAGACCAAGAGAGCAGATATATAGAGAGCTTAGAGGC